AGCATAAAACAAGTACCAAATAACTTATACAATGCGCATTGATATGAACACTGTAAAGTTTGTTAGTTGATTGAAACTCATGACATTTTCATTGAGTATCAAACATCCTCTATTGAGATGAAATTCATTGTTTCTATTAAATGAGTATTAATGAACTTTTAATGAGCATCGGACCAAATTTGTTGAGTATTAGGAGTCTGATATTGAGCATCGAGATCTCTGCTTCATATCTTATATTCACTTTCTTTTTCTTATTTTTTCCTTTATAAAAATTATTAAATTATATCTATAAAACTCCTATGAAACTTCAATATGTGAATATAATGTAATATAGCACATTTGAAATATGAATTGATATGACATTTTAAAAATGGGCATAAATGAGTATAAATTGAGCATATGTAACTTAGAAAATGAGCATTGATATGAAAATCATAATTTTTTTTAATTGAGCATCAGGACATTTTCATTGAGCATCAAATCTCTTCTATTGAATATTAGAAACGTGCAACTTTTGTAGTATGCATTGATATAATTAACATTTTAAAATGAGCATAAATCCAGTACCAAATGAGCATACAAATAGTATGAAAATCATAAGCTTTGTTAGTTGAGCATCAATACATTTTCATTGAACATCAAACCTCTTCTATTGAGTATCAGAAGCATGCAATTCAGTATCATGACCTATGCCCCCATGTGAATCTAATATGCAATAATATTACATTTTAAAATGAGCATAAAATGGTTTCAGATGAATGTACGTAACTTACAAAATAAGCATAAAAAACTTCAAAAGCTCGTTAGAATTCTCTAATGTGTTTAAAATATTCAATTTTGCACAAGTATCATAATGACAAACATAATAATGACAAATATAATAATTTTATATTAAAAATAATTTATATCCTTTCATTCTGGAATTACAAATATAGTCCGTTTTTTTTACATTATACTCATTTTAGTATAATACAAAACTCATGTTAATAATTAGCACATACTACCTCCGTCCCGGTGGACTTTTCCAAGTGTAAAGTAGGTGAGAAATAAGAATATTAAAATTGTGTGGTTGAGATTTGTGTAGAGGAGAGAGATATGTGCAGAACCACAAATTAGTTGCTTTAATAGGAAAGTGGCAAAATTTTTTGGGACAACCAAAAAGGAAAAGTTGGCAAAGTCCAATGGGACAGAGGGAGTAATATTTAATAAACTAATAAATATTCTTCTCAAATTAAAAACTGAAAAATAAAAAATTAATACTTTGAATATTGATCAGAAATTGAAAATTTGAAATCAATGAATTAGGTGGTTAAAAAACAGGAAAAAGAGACGAACAAAAAAATCTATATAAAATGCAAAAGAAAATTAGAGACATAGTGCTCCACTCACGCACGCAGTCCACTTAGGAGTAGGGCTGAGCAAAACCCGATCCGACCCGAAAAACCCGATATTTTTTTCGGATATTATCCGAACCGAAGTGGATATCCGACCCGAAAAACCCGAAACCGAAAATCCGATTAGTATTGGGCCTAGACCGGGTGGCGGGTAGGGTTTGTGAAATCCCAACCCGACCCGTCCGAATATCCGAAATATATGTTTAGTGTGTACTTTGAATATTTAAATTAATACTTGTGTTCAATTATTTGTGTAATTATTTGTGCAATTTGTATTAAATTATTTGTGTAAATTGAATGTGAAGTGAACTATTGTGTACAATTTTTGTTAAAGTGGCATTCCAACACTTTAACTATCCAATTATAATGTGTTTTGATATAACCAAAATATCCAAAATATATTAAATTATGTAGTGTGTACTTTGAATATGTTAAATTATTACTTTTGTTCAATTATTTGTGTAATTATTTGTGTAATTTGTGTTAAATTATTTGTGTAATTTGGAAGTTTAGTGCACTAGTGTGTACAATTTTTGTCAAAGTGGCATTTGAACACTTTAATTATCCAATTATAATTTTTTTTAATATAACCGAAATATCCGAAACCCGACCCGATATCCGATAATATCCGACTTAAAAATATCCGAAATACCCGATTTGAAATATTAAAGGGTCGGGCCTAATATTTAAATTAAAAAACCCGAACGGGTTTAGGGTTCGCAAACCCGACCCGCCCATACCCGACCCGTGCACACCCCTACTTAGGAGTTAGGGCGAATTAAGTTGACCGGCTAAAGAGGATACGTAGTCCACTTACGCAGGGAAGCAGAAAAAACGGCCGGAAGAATTTTAGCAAAAAATTACAAAAATACTGGGTGTATACCTACGATATAAATTGCGCTATATTGTGTAGGTTGTGTGGCGCTATATTCTAGGGTTAGCTTTAGAATCATTCGACTCCAGATAAAGCCGCATGTGAAGAAATCGCCGGTTGAGTTCGCCCAGACTTCCAATAGCCCGGAAATCGCTGGTGAGCCACAGCCTTGATGCCTTCACGTATCCATTAGAGCAGGTTCACATATTTTTCTCATCTCGAATCTATACTTTCTTTACCGTCACTGGTCAACACTTTAGCTGTGTTCGAATCCCGCCTATATTGCCATGGAAGGAGGACCATCGCGATCTCGCAAGCGTTCTTTCAAGGACTCCGTAGATGATGGCTCCGAAAACCCCTCTGGGGAAAAGAAGTTAAGGTTCCCTAAAGGAAAAAAGTTAAAGCATGGGGATTACGTCGAGAATAGGAATGAAGAATTACCTAGTGGATTTAATCCCCGTGTTGCAGCAAGAGAGCGTGCAATGCGCCGAAATAAAATCACTGCTGAACTCCTTGAGGAGGAGGAGGAAAGTAGAGGGTTGATTCCCAACATTGCGTTAGCTGAAGAGATTTATGAGGAAGATGAGGTATTCATTGATGATGGAATCCCGATTGAACCTTTTAATCTTGCAAAAGAGAGGGAAGAAGGTTATTTTGATGCCAATGGGAACTATGTTGAATATGCTCATGAACGTGATGTCAAGGATGCATGGCTTGATAGCATTGATGTTCATCCAAAAGCTGCTGGGAAGGCAAAAGCTGCAACCAGTGAAGATGAGGCACACGATCTTACATCAGAAGAGCTCGGGAAGATGAAGAGGCGAATTGCTGATGTTCTTGATCCCGGGGAGACTGTTTTGAAAGCACTAAGGAGGTTAAAAGGCACTTCAAAAAACAAGGAGAAGATGACAATGGAAAAGAAACAGCTTTTTGATCAGCTAACAGAAGATGCCATGAAGCTGATGGAGAATGGCGATTACAATGTCTATGAAGAAAGGCAAGAGAGTTTCCAGCGTGAAGCAGAGGGATATGAGAGGCTAACTCAAGCCAAGGCACTGGGTACATCTATGGAGTTGAAGAATAGTACTTCTAGTAGTGTCTTTGATGACGATTTTATTCCCACAGAAGGTCCATCAAATGCCAATGCATCCACTTTTGTAGGCAACAGTGAGGATGATTCTTATGACATGTTCACTGAGGATGATGGAGCCCCTCTTACTACCACTAACAATGCCTCAAACGAGGGTGGTCAGGAAAATGACTATGTGTATGATGAGTCATCTGGCTATTACTATAGCGTCAATTTGGGCTACTATTACGACCCTTCATCAGGACTGTATTGCAATGCTGCTTCAGGAAAATGGTATTCCTATGATGAAGAAACTGGCAAGTATGAAGAGATCCCGCAAGCTGAAACCAATATGAGCTAAGTAGAGTATGATTATAAACGGTACAAAGCCACTACAGTGGCATGTGATGTGGATGATGCAATTGTGATTTTATTTATCAGTACATGTTTGAGCAATGTGAGGTATTTTAATGTCTTGAAAAAAAATACTTAACAGAGCATTTTCAAGTATACATATATGCTAAAGGTCGATTGTGACATGAATTTGGAGTAATATCTTAACTTTGGATTATTGGTTAACCTGTAGTATTTAATTTCAAAATTGTTACCGTACTATGAAACGCTTTATTCTTTCGGTTGGTTGTTTAACCGTACCACTAGTTTTTAAAAACATGGTATGGTAAACCAAAAAACACAGTTAATCGGTTGCAGTTTTTCATGCCAACCTCTAGTTTGAGTATCTGAAGTCCAATTTCCGAACGGATTCACAAATTCTACATTCATAACTCACTTTTCTTTCATTTCGTATAAGTCCTCTATGCTAAGCTGGCATCTTTCTGTGAAAGCCGAACACGGAACTTTAGCCATCACTAATACCTATAGTCATGAGTTGAATTGGGCTGAATAGTAATTATAGACTACGTAATACTTAAATATGAAAAAAAAAATTACATTTAAAAAAGTCGAGAAAAATTAAACTGCCCTCAACTTCGGCCTACTATAGCCCATAAGATCTTCTCCTGCCTGAAGTACATATACAAATTTTGCGTAAAGACCTGTTTTATCTTTTTGTTTGCAATGTTTTCTGTATGATTGGAGCCTGGAAAAAGACATGTAAAGAAGTATAACTAAAATATATGTTCATACTAATTTGTATATTCCGTATATTTTTTTTTAGAAATTGCAATGAGCTTTTTATTTACTTGGAATTTCCAACACAAAACCAAACCAGAATGTTTGTTTTTAAGATTTTATTGTAAAGAATCAAAATTATAAAAGGAGGAATTAAACCCATCAAGTGCTTCAGCTAATTAGGAATATAGAGGAAGCAAAAGGCTTTCGACTTTGATTGAAAACCCTAAAGGCTCATGCTTAGGAAAGAGGAACTCTGAGTGCTAAAACCACACCATTCATTGTATATTTAACCAAAATTTGAAAAATTTGAAAAAAAATTCAAATTTGAAAAATTTGAAAAAAACCACACCAACTGTCTTTCCCCTGTGTCCAGTAGTCTTGGTGTGCTGTCCATGTACACGAAGATCCCAGTAGTGTCGCAGACCATGATGGTTCTTGATTTTCTTCAATCTCTCAAGATCATCCCTGAGTTTCAACCTGTGAATAGTTACCATCCCTGTAATCCTTTTGCCTGTTGAGGAACCAGTCTGGGATCTTGAACTGATGGGGGTTTGCAACGATCGTCATCAGATTTTCAATCTCAGTAGAAGACAGCTCTCCAGCCCTTTTGTTCATGTCGATGTCATCTTTTTTGCAGCAGATGTTAGCAAATCGGCGGACGATACCTTTGATGGAAGTGAGAGCGAACATAATCTTCTGCTTTCCATCAATGTTGGTGTTCAGGATACGCATTATGTGCTGAAAATCTTCATTTGCTACCGGACTCATGGCTGCGGCATTGCTTTTACCCCCTCCTGTTTGTCTCTTTCTGGAAGGGCCACTGGGAGTCTGCTCAAACCAGAATGTTTTCATTTGCCATTTTTACTCATTTCTTTTAACCGTCATACATATCCATTGTGTTTCCCTGAGGTAAGATAAGTTCAAAATACACACACACAAATTTAAACTACATCGTAGTGTCATACCTACATAGGATGATTGCATCTTAGTTATTCTATTCTTTCTTCAATTAACTAAAAAATGAATTCAATTTCCGGTCCTAAAATGCATGGCTGCCTCACCTCTGCCCACTGTTCATATTCAAATCGGGATCAGGCTACACCTCATCGGTCATCAGTATTCCAAGCAGCAGGCATCGAGCAAACAAATGTATGAAATACCATATTGGATATACGTAATATAAAGAGAACCTCAGGGCCGCAGGGGCACAAGCACCCCCAGGTTCCTGAATAGTTCCGCCACCGAGATCAGCTCATCATCATCATTATCCCAGTGCCGCAAAGGCTCCCACCTACGGTGGGGTAAGGGGGGGTCGGATGTACGCAGCCTTACCCCTGTACTAAAGCACAAAGAGGCTGTTTCCGCATGACCCATGGTGAAAATTACGTCGATCGTTGCATGGACTGACTGCTACTTCATAACAAAGAAGCGCAAACAGTTTACTGAACCATTTTGCTTTATTCCATCATATTCCCAAGCCACTGGGATCAGCTAACCAAAGAAAAATAGAAATACTGTCTGCCAAGCAATGAATATACATTCCTCAATTCGGGATGGAGTGAGTAGATACTTTTTTGGTTAATGACAATTACGCATGTCTAACACGTTTTTACACCATATGTGAAAATGTTTACAGCTAACACTGCCTTATTTTGCACAGAAGTATTTTCACAGAAGTGCAATTAACTTTTTTTTTGAAAACTAAAAGAAACGAAATCATTTTGAGGTATGGGTACCATTGGCATAGTATTCTGGTATGTTCGACGTCGTGTTAATTGCTTGTGTGGAAAAAATTAAGAAAAAAATTATTCACAAACAAATGTCCAATTAATATCTAAATGAGTAAACATATATTCTCGTTTGAAATTTTAAAAGACAAGCAAAAAAATCTGGAATCTTAAAGTAAGTCTGATATAAAAAGAGTCTAGATTCATAGAGAATTCAAAGTATAAACCATATAACTTTACTTTTTTAAATCTGGTGTAGGTGGGCAACTGTGACAGCTCTAGGGCCTGGGGAAACATGCACTTAACTACTTAACATCATAACAGTTTTTCGTTGATCCTCTCATTTAACCAAATGTTTTAAATGAACTGATTAACTCCAAGAAGATATTTTAATTATAAAATACACGGATACCATTGTAGTATTAGGAATGACATAAACTCAAAGCCCCCATGTCCCATATGTGTTAGTATCATACGGAGTATTTCAAATAAGCTTGAAAACTCATATTTACTGCTTTGCAACAAATGAAGTTTTTTACCTGGAGACACAAATTTTATTTAGTCATTTTAGTGTATTAGCTTTGAAGTTTGTAATTTATCAATGAATGAAAAAAAAGGTTGAACGCAAATGGTGGTTGAATTATAAAGTTCTTATACAGTATTAAGAATTATGAAGTTCTTATACAGTAATAATAATTTAATACTTCTTATTAATGCTAACGGCCCAAAAACAGATGCAAATCTGTGAAAAAGAATTGGGCACTGGAAAATAATTCCTGCCCAAAAAACCTGTTTACTAATGACTACACTAAGCTTTCTATTCCTATTCTTTATAGTTTATATATCAACTTGAGCTAACTAGAGATGATCTCAAGGAAAGTAGCCTCTGGACAAGGTATTGTGAGTCCTCCCATAGGATGATCAAATCCGAATTCTTCCTCAGCTTGACTAAGCAAGTCTTGGAATGACGAGTCCTTCAAGTACGATATCGGAAGAACGAATCGCTTCTTTTCACCCTCACCAACATAAACTGCAAAATGACCCTTAGGGACCTCACTTTCCTTGTGTGTTCTTGAAGAAGACCTCCTGAGGCTCGGTTTAGTAGCACGCAGAATTTTTGTCATACTGACTGCCATGTTTGAATGTTTTTTAGCTATAGGAAACTGCTTGATGAAGCAGATACTTTCTTAGGAGTTTGTGAAGAAGGTGTTTTGAGTGTGGGAGAATACAAAAGTAAGTTGCGGTATATATAGATAAACTGGGAGGTGGATTGAGTTAGTGGCTTGAGCAGATGGAGATATCCTAACTGCATTGCATTTACAAGAAAGCCTACCATGTAGTGTTAATCCTTGGATTATTTATTAGGGAACAAACCATGTGATTTCACATTATATGGTTTAGTGTATGGATGAACTCCAGATTCCTTAGGTTTCTGATGGGAAGGTTGGTATGACTAACACTTCATTCCCCACATAGTTTGTTGAAACTGAAAAATAGATTGGGAAAGCTCAACTACTAGGAGACCATGTCAAATGGGTGATGAAGATGAATGGCAACTTCCCAGAAAATTAGATCAGTTAGCTAGGAAACATGTGTTGTGATTCGTAATTTGTGTGTCTCTATGAATGCCCACACTTCAGATCATAAGTTTTTTCTGATTGAAACTATGTGGCCCTACATGTCTAGTTAGCACATGGTTTTGCCTTTCTTGACTTCCAAAAGAGCTAAGCTTGACCCAGTCTCCTAAACATTTTATATAGATAACTTCCTTCTGCAGTCAAAATATATAGTTTCTGCTGATCCCGCTGAATACAATAATACAGTTCAATGTAGATGGCAGATACGGGTATAAGATATTTGCTGCTTTTTTGAATGAAAAAACTGTCATTCCTAATTCTTATGTCCCTGGAAAAGGCCACACTTCAGATCATATGTTTTTCTGAATGGCTAAGTGGTCCCATACGTCTAGTTTGCACATGGTTTTGCCTTCCTTGTGTGGTTTCTGCTGATCTTGCTCAATAGTCAATACCATATCAGTTCCAAGAAAATGGTAGATGTTTGATGTTCTGAATGAACAGGATATCATGCCCAGGACTAGAGCTATAATGGGGCATTTGGCTATCAGCTATCTGATTGAATTTAGCAGACAGATGCATTGCTCGTCTCAGTTCGATCTGATGTCCATTTTTTTAATGTTTATTTCTTCATCTTAACACTATCGTATTCTATTAGCTTTTGAATAGTACAAGGGCGCCACGGAGCCATTTTCGAGATCACTTACTGCTCATCACCTACACCATACGAACAAGAAGCAAGGAAATTCAGGAATGGCATAGCATATGTACACAAATCTAATACTTGAAGTTCATTTTTTAAGTAATCTTCTTATAAGTGTAAAGATTTATGGAAAGCTTTCAAATTCTCCTTGAGAATCTATTTAACCTGTACTATATTTACTTCCGCGTTTCTACACCATATGTGAAAATGTTCACACCTTACACACCTTTTGCACAGAAATGTATTTGAAAACTAAAAGAAATGATGTCGTTTTGAGGTAAAGGTACCATTCACATAGTGTTATGGTATCATTTGACGCCTTGTTATTTAGTTTTGTGCAAATAATTAAGGTAAAAAATTATTCACAAACAAACTTGCAATTAAGATCTAAATGAGTAAACATATACTCTGTATATAAGTTCGTTTGAAAATTTTAAAAGCAAGATTAAAATCTATGGCTTCATAAACTATATCTAAAATATAAAAAAGTCAAGATTCATAGTGAATTCAAATTTGAGATTTAGAATTTAATTTTTTGAATGTAGGCTCAAAGTATAAATGAATTATAAATCTAAATTGTATCTTAGTAGGCCCGAGGCGTCATGGGGCGTTTTGGATCAATCTACCTGAGGAGCAAAGCGAAGGCACGCGCCTCACGAAACAGAACCATAAAACTTTTGTAATAAACACCAAAATTAGCCACAACAAAATATTTATTCAAACAGTAACAAGAAACACATGAAATGCCAATTCATAACGTCATTGAAAAGCAAACTAGCAAACTCGCAAGCAATGTAGTGAACTCGGGCCTAGAATTCATCATTGCCGTCATCCTCATTCTCAAGAGTAATCTTTTAATAAATTGTTATATAAGAAACTGTTAATGGTACTTCGTAAACAACTAATAGCAATTGTTTTAATAACTGTTATATAATCAATTGATAATAATAATAATATATACCTTTGTCAATGATTTTAATTATTCGCTATTAACAACTCGCTAGTTAAACCCACAGACTAAATTCGCTATTAATAACTTCCTAACATAATCCGCTATTTCCGAGGCCTAGATAAGTCGACGCCCATCCCAGAGGCGCCTGAGGCAAATGCCTCCCAGAATCGCAAAAAGCGGCAAAAGGCGAGTGTTATGGCGGGATCATATCAATTTTTCGTTGATCCCCCATTTTCCCTAATGTTTTTGTTGAACTAATAAAAGGGGAATTTAATTGTAAAATACACATATGCCATTGGATAATTAGGAATGACAAAAGCTTGAAATGTCATATTTACTGCTTTGCAACAAATGCAAAGTTTATCAGTAGTTTATCAGTGTATGAAAAAAAATTGAACACAAAATGATGGTTGAATTATGAAGTTCTTATTCAGTAATAATGATCTAATATTAACGCTAACTGCCCAAAAACAGATGCAAATCTGTGAAAAAGAATTGGGCCCTGGAAACAAATTCCTGCCCAAAAAAACTGTTTACTAATGACTAATTGACTCCCATAAAAAAATGACTAATTGACTACACTAAGCTCTCTATCTGTATTCTTTATATATCAACATGAGCTAGCAAGAGATGATCTCAAGGAAAGTAGCCTCTGGACAAGGTATTGTGAGTCCTCCCATAGGATGATCAAATCCAAATTCTTCCTCAGCTTGACTAAGCAAGTCTTGGAATGATGAGTCCTTCAAGTATGATATCGGAAGAACGAATCTCCTCTTTTCTTCCTCACCAACATAAACTGCAAAATGACCCTTAGGGACCTCACTTTCCTTGTGTGTTCTTGAAAAAGACCTCCTGAGGCTCGGTTTAGTAGCACGCAGAATTTTTGCCATACTGACTGCCATGGTTGAATGTTTTTTAGCTATAGGAAACTGTTTGTAGAAGCAGATAGTTTCTTAGGAGTTTGTGATGGTGTTTTGAGTGTGGGAGAATA